AAAAGTATGAAAGACAGATGTCGTTCTCTCTCAACACGTGTTTAAAGGAGGGGTGGTCTTTTTTGGGATTGTCACCTCCTACTTCTACCTTCTGACCCCTCTCTTCCAACACACACACACACACACACACATACTTTTCAACCACCCATGCTAAAAGGTTTAATGTTTGTGTGCACTGCTTGTGTTGAAGTAAGTGCATGACATATTGTATCCAATGTTTGATATTGTATGTACTGTATATAATATCTGGTGTTTTGCAACTGAATGTTTTATTTTCTGGTTTTTGCTGGGCTGGTGCATCTGACAGTACTTTTGACTTGGAAATTTAAGGAATGCAAAAACTCACCTTCCATGTAAAAACTATCAAAATAATTCAGTGTTGGTCAGACCCATGCTTAAGGATTGGGATGGCAATGTCCCATCCATAATGCCTAATGCCGCCATTATCCCCTCCATAAGTGCCCTTTCAAAATATAGAGAATACGGTGCATCTGTAAACTCATGTATGAGGAATAGGTCAGTTAATGCTCTCCTCCAAGAGCATTCAGGTGCCCAAAAATGTTGCATGACAGACGGTTCAAAATAATGTGGCAGCTTCATGTGTCCCAAGAAAGCACTCATTCTCCCAGGAAGTAACAGGGACAGAAATACAATTCAATTCAATTCAATTTTATTTGTATAGTGCTTTTAACAATGGACATTGTCACAAAACAGCTTTCAAAAAATATATTGTAAATATGTGAATTTATCCCTAATGAGCAAGCAAGAGGTGACAGTGGCAAGGAAAAACTCCCTGAGACAATATGAGGAAGAAACCTTGAGAGGAACCAGACTCAAAAGGGAACCAAGTAAATTCATCACAATTATATTATTATATTAATAATATCATCTATGCCTGTGAACCCTCCAGACCTGCTCATTTACTTAAGAAAAAACTTTTCACAAAAGGCTTGACTAAGCAAATATGTTTTCAGCCTAGACTCAAACACTGAGACTGTGTCTGAGCCCTGAACACTAAGTGGAAAGCCGTTCCATAACTGTACGGCTTTGTAAGAGAACGCTCTACCCCCAGCTGTAGCCCTCACTATTCGATGTACAAACAAATAGCCTGCACCTTTTGATCTAAGTAGGCATGGCGGATCATAAAAGACCAAAAGTTCGCTCAGGTACTGTGGCGCAAGACCATTTAGTGCTTTATAGGTCAATAGTAGTATTTTATAATCAATACGAAATTTGATTGGGAGCCAATGCAGTGTGGATAAGATAGGGGTGATGTGGTCATATCTTCTGGTTCTAGTAAGGATTCTTGCTGCTGCATTCTGGACTAACTAGCTTGTTTATGCATCTACTGGAACATCCAGACAGTAAGGCATTACAACAATCCAACCTAGAGGTAACAAGAGCATGAACAAATTTTTCTGCATCGTGTTGTGACAATATATTTCTTATTTTAGCAATATTTCTGAGATGAAAGAAAGCGATCCTAATAATAATAATAATATTATCTACATGAGCTTCAAATGAAAGACTAGAGTCGATAATCACACCAAGGTCTTTTACTGCTGCAGATGATGAAACAGAAAGGCCATCCAGAGTTATTATGTAATCAGAAAGCTTACTAGCTGCATGTGGTCCTAGTACAAGTACTTCTGTCTTGTCAGAACTAAGTAAGAGAAAGTTAATAAGCATCCAGTTTCTAATGTCTTTTACAAATAATTTTGCCCAGAAGTAGCATATATAAAGAAAAGAGCAGTGGGCCTTAAACAGAGCCTTGTAGGACACCAAACTTTAACTTAGTATGTGTAGAGAAGTCACCATTTATGTCTAGAAACTGATAACGATCAGTCAAATAAGACCTCAGCCAGAAAAGGGCTATTCCCTAAATGCCTACTACATTTTCTAGTCTATCGAGGAGAATAGCATGAATAGCTCAGTGGTTAAGATGTTGGACTATTGCTTGGGAGGTCATGAGTTCAAGCCTCAGTGCTGCCACTGCTGGGCCTTCGAGCAAGGCCCTTAATCCTTAACTGCTCAGTTATATAAATGAGATAAATGTAAGGTGCTGTGGATAAGGGTGTCTGTAAATGAAATAAATGAAGGCCAGTGGTCAGTTATTTACCACTTTAACCAGTGCTGTCTCTGTGCTATGATGAGGCCTAAATCCTGACTGATACATTTCATGAATGTTATTCCTATGTAAGTATGAGCATAGCTGCTGTGTTAGTGATCTTAGAAATAAAGGGGAGATTTGATATTGGCCTATAGTTAGACAGCTGAGAGGGGTCAAGGTCAGGTTTTTAAATCAAGGGCTTGATAACTGCTAGTTTAAAAAAGATAGCACTGGAACATAACCAGTGCTAAGGGAAGAATTGATTATCTTTAAAAGAGGTTTGATTGTTTCAGGAATTATCTGTTTGAAGAAACATGTAGGTAAAGGATCTAGTATACAGGCTGATGATTTTGATGATGAAATTAGTCAAATTATTTCGGTCTCTCGGAGGGGAGTAAAACATTGTAATTGTTGATCTGATCTTATTATATTATTATCTACAGGGTTAGTTTTGAAACTGTCCGGTTTTAAATTAATAGTCTGATACTGAAAAAACTCTGTGCAGTTGCTGATGTGAAAGTATGTTTGATGCAGTGACGTGGCAAGGTGCATATATTATGATTAAGACACATTTTAAATGAGATGAGGTAATGATCTGAGATAGCTTCAGACTGCGGAAATGTGACTATATTTTCTATATTTAATCCAAATGTTAGTATTAAGTCAAGTGTGTGACCACTACTATGAGTGGGTCCTATTACTGACCCTATTATTGACCCCTACTGAATCAAGAATGGACACAACCACTGTTCTAAGATCATCTGGATTATCAAAATGAATATTAAAGTCTCCAACAATTAATGCTTTGTCTAAGGAAACAACCAGGTTAGAGATGAAATCTGCAAATTCACATAGGAATTCCGAATATGGCCCTGGGGGTCTGTAAATAATAATTAGTGGAATCACCTGGGTAGACTTATTTTTAATGGCTATGTATGTTATGTTAGTATAAAGAACTTCAAATGCTTTGAATTTATGACTAGGACACCTCCTCCTGTGACAGTTAGATGGGGCTGATGTATGTAACTGTACCCGGGAAGACTAGATTCATTTAATGCTACATACTCGTTTGGTTTAATCCACGTTTCTGTTAAACACAGTACATCAAACTCCTGATCAGTAATGGTTTCATTAACAATAAGTGCTTTAGACGTAAGAGATCTAATATTCAACAGTCCTAGCTTCAGATCAACGGTGCTGGCTACGCATTCGGTTATTTAATTTTATGTTAATTAGGTTACTAAAACAAACTGTCTGATTATTTCTACATTTTTGTTTAGCTCGGGGAACAAACACAGTCTCAATAAAGTGGAACCTAAGTGACGACTCAATGGAGCTAGCAGACGGTTGGTTTAGCCTGCTTGTCTGCTCCCTGGCCTTGGCTCTGGATTGTCACCGATTAACTAGGCATGTTCTAAGACTAAGTGCTATGCTGCAAGAAATGAAATAAGCGCCTTCCCGAGTGGGATGGACAATACAATCCCCTCCAAAAATATTGGGATGGAAAGTTGAATTCTTTTGTTTATGCCATACACTAAAGACATTTGGGTTTGAGATGAAAAGTTGAATATGAGACAATAGATCAAAAGTTCAGCTTTCATTTCCTGTTATTTACATCTAGATGTGTTAAACAACTTAAAACATGGCTCCTGTGGTAACAGGTAACCTGATTTTAGATGAGCAAAAATATTGGAACCGATAGTCTTAGAGTTAATTAATGTAAATAACACTTAATAGTTGGTTGCATATCCCTTGCTTGTAATAACTGCATCAAGCCATTGACCCACTGACATCACCAAACTGTTGCATTCTTCTTTTGTGATGCTTTTGCAGGCTTGTACCACAGCTTCTTTCAGTTTTCTGCCTTTTCTCCCTTCAGTCTCCTCTTCAGGAGGCGAAATGCATGCTCAATTGGGTTGAGGTCTGGTGATTGACATGGCCAGTCTAAAACCTTCCACTTTTTCCCCTGATGAAGTCCATTGTTGTGTTGGCAGTGTGTTTTGGGTCATTGTCTGACTGAATGATGAATTGCCTCCCAATAGGATTGGATGTATTTCTCTGTAAATTGGCAGGCAGAATGTTTCTGTACACTTCTTATTTCATTCTACTGCTACCATGAGTTACATCATCAATAAAGATTAGTGAGCCTGTTCCAAAAGCAGCCATTCTAGCCCAAGCCATGACACTACCTCCATTGTGCTTGACCAATAAGCTTGTATGTCTTGACTCATGTGCATATCCTTTTTTTCTCTACACTTTGGTAGAGGTTAATCTTGGTTCCAGAACTTTTGTGGTTCATCTCTGTATTTCTTTGCCAGTTCTAATCTGGCCTTTCAATTCTTACTGCTGATGAGTGGTTTACATCTTGTGGTATGGCCTTTATATTTCTGCTTTCAAAGTCTTCTTTGAACAGTGGATTGTGACCTTCTGCCCTGTAGAAGTTGGTGGTCACTGACTTTTGTTTTTGGGTTTTATTTTTGAATTTTTATTCTGCAAGCCTGATTTTCTCCCATAGACAGTTCTCTGGTCTTCATGTTGGTTTATCCTTTTTTAACAACAAATGCAGTCTTCACAGGTGAAACCCAAGTCTCAGACCAAGAGTACACACTCAGATCTATTAACCGCTTAAAAAACAATCTAACAGACAGGGTACACCTGGGCAACAAGAAACACCTGTCAGTCCATGTTCCAATATTTTTGATCACTTGAAAATTAGGTGGGTTCAAACAAAAGGTGCCATGTTCTAAGTTGTTTAACACATCTAGAAATAAATATCATGAAATGAAAGCTGAAATTCTGATCTCGTATGTTTCATATTCATCTTTTGATCTCAAACCCAAATGTCTTCAGTGTATAGCAAAAACAAAAGAAATTGGCCTTGCAGTTCCAATACTCCTGGAGGGGACTGTAGCTTTTTTATCCTAGATAGTATGGTGGATATTACATAATTAGCATAACTGCATTGTAAATAGCTTTGTGGTGTGAACACTGTTCACACACCCATTAAACCTGACTACCTACCTTGTTCATTCCCTATTGAATGATACCCCACCCCACCCCGACATCAAAAGTTTCTCACTCTTGACCCATTATAGATGAATCTTTTGAACATAATAATTCACCCACACAAAACAATTTTGTAACCAAATCTGTTTTATATTTCATATATCAGACTTGTGAGCAACATATCAGTCACATAATTATGTTTCAGAGATGTAGAGATCATGAAGAAAACAATGCAGCGTAGCAAAGATAATTCAATCACAGAGAGGCTGTAGATAATTTAAAGCTTATTCATGTCTAGTCAGTGCAGATAACATACCAAAGGTACAAAGTCCCATGAGATGTTTTCAGTGAAGCAAAAATCCATTTGAATCACATGCAGTTTGAGACTGTAGAAATTCTCATTCCAGTGAAAGAGTTTACCTTTTTCTTATTAAATTGCACTAAATTGTGCTACGTTTCAAAGTCGAACTTTCCATTATGTTGTGTCTTCTTGCCCAAGGCATCAAACCAAGCTGGAGGCACTTGCATACACAGAGCAATTAATGGAAAAGTTCACCCTGAAACACATTAAATATGTTTATATTGAAATTATTATGTGTTTAGAGATTCTGTTTATAACTTTTTGGCTAGTGTTTTCATTATTGCCTTGACAAGTTAGCAGTTATACCACTCTGCTTTCACAGGGGGACGTTGTTAGGAATGATGCCAAGACATTTAATAGGGCAGGTTTTACTGATAGCTCCTAAAAACAAAAGAGCAAATGCTTCTTTTCTCACTTAACATTTTCCAGGGACATTCAATGTCATATTAAAGAGAAATCCAATGTAGAAGTAGTGGAGACAGCAAACGCTGAACTCAAAATTCCAGAATGCAATGCAGATATATGTCATGTGTTATGTCACTGTGCACAGCACAGTTACACAGAGTTACAGCAGCCATCTCAGCTCAGTTAGTAATCATTGAGCTACTAAGCAAAATGGCTTTGATTGAGAATGGCAGTATTGCAAGAAAGATGAAGATTTAGAACTTTATCTGTTTGAACCAGATTATAAAGATGAGGAGATGAGAGAGTTGGACAGACTACAGAATAAAATGCTGCTTTATCTTTACGTAGAGATGAAGCAAGGTAATACCTGTTGGCACCTTATCAGTGGTAATGATCAGAGGTACTACTTCTTCTTCTTCTTTTGGCTTTTCCCTTCAGGGGTCGCCACAGCGAATCATCACTCTCCACTTATCCCTATCTTCTGCATCCTCAACACCCGCACCCACTAGCTTCATATCCTCATTTATTACGTCCATATACCTCCTCTTTGGCCTTCCTCTTCGCCTCCTGCCTGGCAGCTCCATGTCCAACATTCTCCTACCAATATACTCACTCTCCCTCCTCTGAACATGTCCAAACCATCTTAATCTGGCCTCCCTAACTTTGTCCCCCAAACGTCCAACATGAGCTGTCCCT